GAGAAGATGAGGCCATTTATCATGCCCCCAACCTTAAAGGGGACGACTTTCCCACAACAGGTGTGTCACCTCTGAATTAAGAGCATTTTGGGGGTGACGCCAACCTGCTCAAGGTGTTGGCATCCAGTTCCTTCATCTGGTTGTATTTTATTCCCACTTTCCCCGGCTTCCCCCCACTTCATGCGAGACCCCAGTTGGGAAATTTTGTCCTAGGTTTACACCATCCCATTCTGGAAAACCCATGCGCATTTCCCCGACGTCCCAGCAAGTTTCTTTAGCGCCTTTTATCAGCGCTGACGGCGAAGTTGGTTATACGTAACCACGTGAATCCTGCCTGCCAGACGGTGCTCAAAATGGATGCAGTGGGTCTGTTCCACCGGCCTGCACGGAGCAACGTCTAATTTAGGTTTCAAATCCGAGTGACTCGCTCCAAACGAGCGATTGATTCGTGCTGAAGGGCACGCACCTAATGATCGGCTCCAGCTTTTTTTTTTGTTGTTTCCCGCCCCCCTTTATTTCCTAGTCCTGGTGGCTGCACTGAGAGCGTGTTAAATAATTAACTGCTGAATAACAGAATCTCGCCCTGCGAGTCCCAGGCTGTCCGAGTGACCATTATAAATCCCCGTTTCAAAGGGATGGCCATAAAAGTTCACTTCAAGGCTGGAAACTGGGCACATCAGCAGAGGCTCAGCGTGGAATCGAAACCTTTCATTTCCAACCCCTGGCAACAACATAGCAACGAGGCCCCATCCCCGAGCGGAAGAAGGGCGTAATTAACCCATCAAACAATGAGGCATACGAAGCAACATATTGCCGGAGGGAGATTTTGAAGTAGCCAAATATTTTCCTAAGATCCCACGGGGCCTTTGGCAGAATTATTCCATTACTGGTTTTAGATAGTTAGCTGGTCTGAGACTAAATGCATTAGAGCTGCTCTTGCAAGTTTTTTATCCTGGTCTCTGGAAGTCCTTGCCCAAGGTCACCGTGTCCCGTGCTCGCGGAAAGAAAAGGGAACGGGAAGCGAATGCACGCAGCAGCCCTAGTGAAGAAGCAAGGAGTGACTTCCTCGAAGCTATTAAGGCACTTGGCCTTTGTCATTAATCACTGGCTCTCGCAGAGGTAGATGGGCAGCCCCGGTCCACGGTGGCGGGTCGGTAGGAACAAAAGCAGAGAGCACGTCTCGTCAGGCCCGGGTCTCCAGGAGCGCTGGCGGTCCAGGCCCCATGCCAGGGCTGCATTGGAGCAGGCTCAGACTTTGTCTTGCATGCATTCTTCGGGGAGACTAAGGATATTCATTAGCAATGCGGCAGAAAGCGCAGGTCTCGGTTCCAGCGATCTCCTGCATGGGACGGAGGGGTGGGATGCTCAGGCCCTCTCTGTGCCACGGCTGCAGAAAGCTTGGAGCCCTTTTAGCTTGGGAACGCCCCCCCGCCGTAAAGCTCATATCCACAGTGCTGCACGGTGCTCTGGGACGAGCCCCACACTTCAGAAAGCCTCTTATCGGTGCACACGCGGGGCTCTGCACTACTGAACACGTTCGATCTGGGTAGGCTGAGCTCATGCGTTGCAAGAAGCTCGTGCCCTTCAAAGAAAGTCATTCCTCTTTCCCAGCAGAGTCCGTGCAGTGGAGAAGTGGGCCTTTCCTAGGTGCCTTGCACCATCCTGGACTCCCAAGAAGCCCCCTTTGCAGTCTGCAGCATGATTTCAGCCACGACATGCATGCAGTTAACTGTCCATTTCCCTTCGTGCGGGAGGGAGCTCAACCCTTTGGGCCGAAGGAAGAAGTTGCTGCTCTGCAGCTGCTGCTCCCCCCTCCTCCTTGCCCCGCTCACAACCAGCTTTGTTTTTGCACTCGCCCAGAGCGTGTGCTCACAACCTGGGGGGTCATAACCGCCTGCCCTCGTCTTAGCCCTGTTTTCACAGGCCAAAGAAAAACCGTACCGACAGCAGGCCTTCTCGACAAACAGCACAATCCACGGGTACCGAGTTAGCTCTTTTGCAGGTGCAAAATCCCCTTCAAACAACCACCCGACAAGCCGCCGAGCTCTGCTGGTTTGCGCTGAGCCATCGGCAGCTCGCTGGTTCTGATTTGAACGTTTGCATTTGCTGATGTGTCCAGACTCTTTGCAGTGCAGTTGATCGGCCCCTCGTGCCGGCAGAGAGAGAGAAATCCCAGTCCTGACCTCATGACTTGTTGACTGTAGATCCGGTGGTGTAATTTTGGGGCGGGGTGAGACTTTTGAAGGATTGCCCCTTTCTTCCACGTCAGGCTGAACAAAGACTGTGAAGCATAAATGACACTGTGTGTGACGGCAGAAGTGTCGTCTCATGGATGGAGGGGAGGGCCAAGGGGCAGGAGGATGAACGACTCCCCTCTTTGAGTGCTTTCTTGTTTGGAGGCTCCTTACTTTTACGGCACGGTCGGACCTGAGTCTACTGCTGGGTTTGAGGCGTTTTCTCTAGCTAGACTCAGGCATGGTTGAGGCGGGCGGCCAACGTGAGCGCGTTGAAAAGGACACCGGGGCGCTTATTGGGACGTTTCATCGCTGCAGTGATGCAAAGAGGGGAGATTTAAGGAGCCGATCCCCAAATACCGTGTTCCCACAAGCATCTGACGCAGCGGAGGGATCTGGCCTTGGGTTTGCATGAATGTCATCAGAGCCAGATCCAATCTGCATAGGCAGGTCAGTCATTTTAACAGGCTACAAGCACTTTTGGACCGACCTACGAGACCATACGGGGAACCTGCCATCTGGGCTTAAGGAGTCTGATCCGAGTAAAACTCATGCTGAGGAAGCATAGTTGATTGTTGATTTAAGTTTGCACTTTCATGGGCAGGAAGGTCTCTCTTTGAGAGAGGTAATCCAGGCAAAACCTGGACTTTTTTTATTATTATTATTTTTTTTTTTTTTTTTTTTTTAGTTTAGCAACAAGAGATAATTACTGCGAGATTGATCATTCACTAGAAGTACTGAAGCAAATAAATTGTTCAGTGCCCAGTGCAGGATGAGAATGGCGGCTAATGGAAATGGTGGATAGGTCGGCCTGACCATAATTTGGCTTGATGAAGCATCCACATGGGCATGGTGTTAATGTGCTATTGATATTCAGCCAGCCGATTTCCCCCGTGCAGATTGGGCTCTGACTCGTTAGAGCAGAGCTGGGCATCGCAGCAGCAAATGAAGAGGAAAATTGAAGTAATGTTGTATTATAAATTTATGATTTCATCTGCCTGACCTAGAGACTGTTCTGTGATGGGAGAGAGAGATGAGAACCGCTCTCCAGTCAACTGTGTACTTTGTCTTTGTTGTTAGAAATGATAGAGATTTGCTGGGGAGAGGGTCAAAAGCATCTTTACCAGTATCTTGCCGATCCCTTCCGGTCGGTCTCGGGTCTCCTGTTGTCTTGCCCTAAATGTACCTGTGTCGGACAAAAACGAGCACATGCAGTAAGCCTGAAGAGGGGAGCAAGATGTGTGGATGGGCGATGGAGGGAATAGGGGTTATAACAGCATCCCACCCCATTGCATTGGCGTCTGTATTGGGGTGGAGGGAGGATTGCCGGGGCTGCTTTTACACCCGGGAGGATGAGCGTGGATGAGCCCAGACTCTAAAATGCTTCAGTGAGCGGGTACAGAAAGGGACGCTGCGTGTGCCTGGTGAGCAGATGATCTCCTTTTGGATCAAGGGAGGGACCTAGGACGTCCCGGCTGGCACCTGGAGCGTTATCAGGCAGCGGCGCAGGGGAGACGGCCGTGTTGCTATCTAGCCCTTCGTGTTGGAGCGCAACATCTCGGTCTGCCCGTGGCAAGCGCTTCCCCACGCTCGCCAGCCATCTGTCTTCCCGCTGACAAGTCAAAAGAAAACTTTTTTTGTTTCAAAAGCGAACGCGCGAGCCCCGGTTGCACTCCGCGCAGTAATTTTTCATTGTGAAGCTCGCTGCGGTGTTAATGGGGCTACTTCGTTGGCAAACAATCCATTTATCAATATTGTTTAAAAAAAAACAACAAACAAACCACCAAAAAACAACCAACCAGTTTGTAAAGCTTAACTCTGAAAGATCTGATTTAATGACAGAGGTGATTAATTTCTACAGGAATCCAGCTGTTGAGCTGTGAAATAAATATTCAGGGGATAACCAATGTGTGTACATATCTATTTAAAGCCGCAGCGTCCTGTTTTGTGTTCACAAGCCCGCTTTTCTCCTACGCCCTCTTTAATCCAGTAATCAAGATTCATCCAAGCGTTTTTATGTTGCAGCTTTAAATTATGATGAATAGTAAACTATATGTACATATAAATCTAATCAGAAACAGAGGAACTTGCTGTGTCAGAAAAATAATTGTACAGCGTATTAGTAATGGGGTTGGTTGTTGGTTGTTTTTTTTTTTTAAAGGCTGGAGATACAAGACTGCAGAAGGAACCACCGAGCCGCTGAAGTGATGTCCTTAGGTCCCAATGCAATTGCCATTAAAGTCGGCAGCAAGATTTCTTTTGATTTCAAAAGGGGTTGTTGGATCAAACCTTTAATGACCAGACTCTGGGCCTGGGGAGCCTCCTTTCATGGAGGAGCATAAAAGTTTCACTGTGCCCATTAATTCCAGGGAGGATAACGGAGATCTCTCCTTTTTTTGATAACGTGAGGCAGGCGGCGTTTGAAGATGGCAAGCGGTGGCTATAGATATATATATATATATATATTTTTTTTTTAATCCCACCTTTGTAAAGGAGAACATACGGTTCTTGCTGTCACAATTAGTCTTGGTAAATGCAGCCCTAATGGGGCTTGTGGAAAGGTAGTTAACTTTATCGCCCTCCGTGCCAACAAAATAAAGCATGCTTAACCCCTGCGCTGCTGCATGCGCTTTGGACCGCGCTACTCTTTGAACCTGCGGTAATGCCGCTGCAGGTGAAAAGCCGAGGAGGGAGATACGAAATGGAGACCTCACCGTTTTAAATAAGAGGAGCAAGAGTGCAGTCTAGTGGGAGCTCGGTCTACCTTATCGTCTTTAAAGAATCGAGCCCTGAAGTCTTTAAGTTGGGCCTTTGTGCAATAGATGCACGCAGGGAGTATAAGACGTATGTAGGACCCCCCCCCATGAAGTTCCCTGCATGGGTTTAATTTAACGTTTTCCTGATCTAGTATTCGCTGCACCCCCAAACAGACTCAGGGTACAGGTCAGTGAATAGCGTCACTCCTCCTTGGTCAGTGGAAAGGTGTAGGATTCCCAGCTGCTCTTTCCAAGGCATAAAGAAGAGTGCAGATACACGTGTGAGGGCAAGGGGGACTTCTGCACCGTACAACAGACGTCTTATAAATCAAGGCTCATGGAGAAAACAAGGCCAGCGGCCTGGTCTCTGTGCACGAAATCCCTGCGTCCCCTAGAAAGAGGACTGATTGCTGTGGGCTCTGCTCACACACGGGTTTACTAGTTTGCTCTCATTAATGAACCCTCAAACAGGTTTGCTTGCAAAAAAGACTGGAAGCAGTCTCGTCCTCCTTGCAGCACTGTTTCGTCCTGCCACTTGCCACGTACTGCTCTGTTCCCCATGCCGTGACTACTGAAAGTTTCAGATGCGGCTCGCCACGCCCTGTATTTACACACCTATTTATTTATTGAACTACGAGTCCTTGAACAGCCCACGATCGAGGTATTAAACTGCACGTTTTGTACCCAGCGCTCCAGGAAACAAAATCTCGTGTCATTTAATTTTTACTTTTCCTGAAAAATTAAAACCTCTTTGACTCTGCAGTTCGATGATGTTGCTGCCTCTAACTCTTTGATGTGTTAACTGTTGTCCTTCACACTCCTGGGATGAAGAATTACTAGTACCTTAATCTCCAACTGTCAATAGCTCTGAAGCAAAGTACATTCATTGTAAGCTCTCCAAATGTCAGAGCAAACCTGTGTTATGTGTTTAGCCTTAGCATTTGGCATTTACTCTTCTAGCTAAAACGTATGCACAATCCTTGGACTTCAGACACCAAAGTGCATGTTAATTATCTGAGTGACAGGCTTCATGCAAATAGTGAAAGGAAAAAGTGATCAGAAAAGTAGCAGGTGCCTCTAGATGTTTCATTTCCCTGCAAAATGTTAATGAAACCTTTTGGCAGGTCTTCATGGGAAGAATAAATCTCATTCTTTTAGTACCTTGTGTCAAAAAAATACAGTCTCACATTTTTCACCTGTCCTTTGTGTTGTGTTGGCTTTAAAAATGAGTAACGCCTTATTAATCTCCCATTTCCCTTTTTCTTTTCTTTTCTTTTTTGCATTTCTACATTCAAGGCTACCCAAATTTTGTTGCAACGTATGGCCGAGGATATCCTGGATTTGCTCCGAGTTACAGCTATCAATTCCCAGGTATGTACATTTCCATTCGCAGATTTAGGTCCCCCTCCCCGCTCCCCCCCCACCGCCCCTCAATCCATAGCTGCAAGTTGAGACAGGAAAGTCTACAGGAACCATCTCATGCAATGAAAAATGCTGACAATTTTCAGGCTACATATATATAAGGTTGCTTTCCCCACCCCACCCCCTATTTATAAACACATATTCTACGGTAAGTTTATAGTTAGCAGTCAAGTTCTGGAGGGAAAAGTCTAACATCCATCTATTTTTTCTTTCTTTTTTTTTTCTTTTTTTTTTAACGTCGCTGTTTCTGGTGACCTTTGTAGAGAGTAGGTTTTAATGGTGTGTTGCCCAGTTGCTTGTTCTCCCACTCCCTTTTGTGTGGCTGTTGAACTTTTGCTGCATTCAGTGACTTCCAGTCACTGGAAGTGTTAATACGGCCACTCGGCATCCTATGACTCCCAAGGTTCGAAAGCGGTTGGCTGGCTTGTAGCATCACACGGTGTGGATCATGAGAAGCCCCTTTTGCTTCCTCCCAGGCACTTTCAAGAGGCAGTCATTGAAACCAGCTCTTCCTATGTGTTGTTTTATGCTGGTGTCAGTGAGAACTTAAATTATCAAGGAGAATATTATTATTATTATTATTATTATCAGCAGCAGCATCTCACCTTTAGGATTTCGAGGGGTGCTCTAACAAGCAGAGTTATGACTGCTGTGTTCCCGGCTTACAATACCCCAGGCCCATCTGGACACCACAGCAAGGAAATCTCTTGTTTATGCATTAAAGTCATTAGTGTGTGTATCACTTGGGTCACACACGAGCAGTTCAACTGCCTTGTGCTGCATTCCTTAATTGCTTCGAAAGGGAGCGTTTGGAAGTGCAGCTTTACTCAGGTTAATTAAGAAAGCAAGTTAAACTATCTCATTAATGAAAATGCTACAGGTACACAAGAGGGAAACCGCTTCAAAGTGGAGAAGAGAACAAAAACCCTGATAGAGAATATCCTCTAGAATATAATAAGAGAGCGATAACCTTTCCATGCCATGTTTGTACATGCCGGTGGCGTATTGGAGTAGGGGTACAGCCCTTCACTGGGTAGGGTAAAAATACTTAGTTAAAACCAGCAGGACAGAGTACTTCCCTTGGCAGCCTGGTTCCCACAGAAATAGCAGAGGCGGTGGTGGTTGAACAAGACCGTACTTAGCAAACGTTGAGGCTCTAGCTGCCCTCTCCCCGCTGCGAACGCATCAGACTGAGAATACGCATTTTAAAAAAAAATCCTCTCTCTTTCTCTGATGTCCGGTCTGTAGAAACAGACCGTTCTGCGCATTTGCTCTCTCCCTAAGAAATGCATTTTGGAGGTCTTGAATCGGAAGTACGCAGGTTGCTTGCTTTCCTGGCCAGCAAAGGCCGAGCCAGCTTCAGACGTAGGGCGTTCTACCTCTCTGATGCCATTCAGTTTTTGGCCTGGACGGTGAAAAAAGGGAGCTATGACTATAGTGCTTGCATGGGCACAACGCTCGTTGCCCAAAGCAGGAGAGACCGTCTCCCACGGGATGGCTTGGACAATGCAGTAGCCATCTCAAAAGAGCACTGAAAGTCTTATCCCAACCTGTTTCCGAGATGCTCTTTATGTGCCGCATGCCGTACTCACGTTGCACTCCTTATCCCCGAGACAGTGCACCACACGGCCACAGCCCCCACTTAATATTGACCCAGACTGACAAATGGGATCTGTGGGATTTAAACAAACAACAACTAGTTGAATTGTCTTGTCTTGACTGTAAAGTGAACCTGACCCCGTGCCGCGCTGCTTTAGCTCGGAGTGATGGCCACTGGCCCCGACTCCAACGGGTGCAAGATCCAGATTACAGCACGCTGAGATCCACATTTGCAAACCACACTGCCGACAGGACATCGACATAGGCAACGAGCGGCAAGGAGGTTTTCCCTAGCGGTGTCCCGCAGCGCTGGTTTTCCATGCGCTGAATGCTGCAGGGAAGGTAGCAGGCCCCTTGCTACACCAGAGCTCACTTTCTGCGTAGTAGGGCCCCGGTCTCCTCCTGATCTCGGCCTAGATCTCTCCCTGACATCGAGAGGATCCGCTGCATCGAGGGAAATAACGCTGGCTCGCAGACAGTAATTAAAAAAGCTCATCAGGCCCCTTCACAAAAGGAGTTTGACACCTCAGCTGCACGGCGTGCATGTCGTTTTCACAAGTGCCCTTCCTAATAAGAGAGCCAGCCAAATCTGGCACGCAAATGCACGCCAGCCCGCGTCAACACCTGATTAGACCTCCACGCACATGAATTGAAGGTGCCAGAGAGCTTCTTAAAAGTTCATTTGCGCGTTGTCTCAGGTCCTGGTTTCCAGGTTCGTGCCGCTCCCCGAATCCGACGGAGCAGCGCGAAGAGAAGGCAGACAAGGAGAGACGGTTTTAATAAATTAAATGATCAAGATTTGACAGGAGCTGTATCGCTCCTGTTATGAACATGCCCAAAAAAGAAAATGCCTGGCAACGAGAGGTACTGTATAGCTCCAGCCGTCAGTACGTCATTTGTATTAAGGGCCTGGGGGGGGGTCTGTGTTCAGAACAGGCCTCCCAGGGTTTTTTGGCAGGCACAGTGCAGCGATGCAGGGAGGGGAGCAATAAAGCCTGATCCCGTTGGCTTCAAAAAAAGAAGCGAGTGCAGAGAAGTGCAGAAGCAACTGGTGTCCACCCCAGCCGAGGCCTTTTATTGTGTCTGAAATGTTTTAAAGTCCTCTCGTGTTGCTTCGACTTGCGGCTAAACTAAGACCCAGAGGCTCGGGGCTCAATTGTGGCCGTGGTGCTAGGAAGTGGTGTCAAGGTGGCAGCTCCCCAGTGCAGCGCAATATCTTCAGGGCCATGTCGGGCGTTCCTCCCTTGGGAGCTAGCTTTTCCTCTGATCCTTTGGAAAAACTGGCATCTCAGGAAGGCAGGGCAAGGACTGAGACTGAGACCCGGCTCTTGCACTGTTTTTGCAGATGTGGGGTTGAGAATGGATCCCATTCCCCCCCATCTTAACCCCTGGACGGAGCCAGGCCCTGAAGGGTGACGGATCTGCAAGCAGGAGAGCAAAGCTCAACTTGCTGATCGCTTGTTCCCCGTGTAAAGTTTCAAGAATCCTGTGCTAAATGCCACCTCGATCGGTCGCATCTCCCATGTAAACATCGATTAAATAAATGCCCCGGTGCAGCTATGTCTTAATTTACCTAAGCTGCTTGTGCTGGTCTCTGCATTTTCCTTCTGCATCCGTTCCACTAATGTGAGATCTAGAAGCCATTTTATTCAAGGTGGTTTAGGGGTTGTTCCCCCTCCCTGCTTGGGAAGTGATCAAGGTTTTGGCCGAGGCAAGCTCTTACAAACCAGCAGAGGAGGGGTAAGGGAAGGACCGCTTTTAGTGACCGCACAATAAATGCACGCAACGATGCAAGTATACACACCAGAGCTTCACTTAGGCCAAGTGCTCGGAGGAGCCTGAGCTGCATCCAGGATGCTTCTTAATGCAAGATTTTGCTCATGCCAGTATGCCCCATTGGCATGCATGAAGTCGGGGTGCTGAGCAAGGGAAGCAGTGAGAGGGCCAACTTCACAGACCAAAGTCATGCAGAGCGTGAAGCCTCCATCCGTGCTCACCCCCACCACGGCAGCATTACAAGAGACTGAGTGGTTGGCCACTTCTCTAAAATGCAGGATTTCCCCAGGCTGGCCCTAAAACACCACAGTTTGCAGTATCTTTGGGTTGCAGGCTACCACCCATCACCGTGGTTTGCTGAATAGCAGCAGTGTTTCGCATAATTTCTCAGCCACGTCAGGATTTTGCCGACACGGGTTCCCTGCGTTTTAATGAAAGGTCCCGTGGCAGGGCTGAATGAAAGAACAAGTCCTACCTTCATGCGAGTCCGTGCTCTTACCAATCATTATTCCTTATGTAAGAACTGAGCTTAAAGGGTTCATTACAGAGCAGCCCTGATGTAGCTTCTTACTACAGTACAAATGTGTCACCAAGCCTTAATATAGCACGCTGCTGATGGCTGGGCTATAAAAAGTCAGCTAATTATAAGGAAATTATAGTCTTCCTTGTATTATAATACAGTATTGCAAAACTGTGCTATTACCAGTTGCCGTTTCCCAGAACTCTTATTGCCACTGCATCTATTTTAATATCAGGAAGCATTATTGCAGTGCCTTTTCGGCTTATGACACTCCTCTTAAACATTTTTGGGGGGTTTTTTTGTTCTAAATGCCAGTCTGAGCTGCGCCGTAATGCGATGTGTACTGTTGTCACCGTGAAACAATGCTACAAATGTCACGATCCACCTGTTGCCTTTGCATTTTGATAACCTGCAAAGAAGGCTCTCTGTGCCGTGTCTGTTTGCCTGCTTGAATGATGCTCCTTTCGTACGTCCCTCGTATTATAATTCTGTCAAACTGGGTGACAAGCCCTAGTTCAAAAGGCAGAAGAAATGTTAATCACTTTGGCAACTGTTCTATCTTCTCTTATCAAGTTATATATTTTTTTTTTTCCTTTAGGCTTTTATAACTCAATGTGTAGTCCTGCCCTCCCCCCTCCCCTCCCCCCTTTTTTTTAATTATTATTATTATTACAATAATTCCCTATCCTGTTTCTTTTTTTTTTTTTTTTTTTTAATTTCTGGAACTTATCTTTTCAGTTTAATCTATTAATTTCTGTTCTTATTTCACTTTGCAGACTATTTGCCGATTTCACAAGACATAATTTTTATCAACTAGTTCTTAAAGATGCATAACAAATTAATCGGGGTTTACTACAGTGCTAATGAGAGACAGAGAGAGAGAGAGACAGAAAGCCTGGGTGGTCCATGTTTAATATCAATGTCCACTGAAAAAATGCTGCTCTTGCTGGCTGGCTTGATTGTTCGGACTCCCTTATTTTTAAAGACTCCATATCCTCACTGCTTGAGTTTGCTTTATTTTATTTTATTTTCCTTATTTTTTTGTTTCCTCTGC